CTCGTATATTTAGACGAAAGTGATGACCGTTAAACTTTTCAACAAGTTTTGTACAAGTTCTAAACTAATGTGTAAAAAACTTGTTCGGTGCAAGTTACACCAGCCCCCTCCCTGACAGGGGGCATGGGCATCGATGACCCCTCCTTCGTACTGGCAGCCTGGCACTTGTTACCACGTTTGGCCCACCCCCTCATGTATTTTCAAATGATTTTTCTTATTTATATGGTTATCAGCACTTCTTGTATTTGTTTGTATAAATATAAACATAGTTATCTTGTTTAGGTCACTCATGCTTTTCAACTTTTTTTACAACCATTTTCAGGATAAGTATTTAATTAAAAAACGTATATACCATTTTCAGGATGACATGATTCATGATTTATGGACCAAAGCTGATCCGTCGGTGAAATGTTCCCTCGCTGATCCGTCGCTGAAAGGTTCCCCCGTTGATCCGTCACTGAAAGGTTCACTCGTTGATTCGTCACTAAAAGTTTCTCTCGCTGAAAGGTTCCCTCACAGATCCGTCGCTGAATTTCGTCACCGATAGCATTAGTAATTAAGACACTAAAACCATTATGGTTTGGCCATGTCATTTAACTCTCTTGAGACCTAACCTCCTTTTTTGCACCATCTACATACTTAACTTTTATAGTCATGTGACATACTTGAGCTCAATGATAAATTTTTTATATAAACTTCAATTAAAAATGTTAAATTAATATTATAAAAACAAGAATGAGAAATTTCATTTGTGAATACGGGGCCGTTTACAAAAAAACATACCCAATAAGTGCTTACCGGTAAGATTCAACACTATTACTTACTTATCGAGTAAGATTTTAGTCTACCAAAACGGTATTATATGTAATAGTTTATCCAATAAGCTCTTACTGTGGTAAGAGTCATCACCTTTATTTATCGGGTAAGACTTTTGTTCCTTGTCTCACTCTTATCGGATAAGACTTTTGATCCTTGCGATACTCACGTGGTTAACTTTTTTAATATGAACCATATCATAGAGAAACTTAACAACAATAAGGAGGCATTTCTCTTTTTTATCTTAAAAACAAAGGTTGTACATGATAGGGGGAGGCCCATTCTATAGCATACGGTGGCATAAGCACCACTTCAGTCATCCGTCGTACTCTAAGAATGTACTATAGAGTCGTGAAAGTCGGTCACTCTTATCTTTTTTGAAAATGCAATTTTATATATAAATAAAGGAGCGTTCAAATAAAAACCACTCAATTTGTAAAAACTGTGAAAACCTCATTCAACCAATAGTATTTTTTCATTTTGTTCATTTTTTTTTGTAATTATGAAAGGTTGATTAACCATTTTTATTGTGGAGGGAGTTAATCATGGATATTATTATCTTAATTATTTTAATTTTAGAGAAATACATGAAACAGTTT